CTAGAACTCCTACCAGTGTAGTCAGAGCCTGTTGTGAGTACTAAGGCACTTTGCTTCCTGCTCGCCCTGTGAATGCTACTTGGTGCTGTTAAGCAGGTACCACATTAAAACACAAGACCTGCTGCAGCTGTCTGGTTAAGGAAGCACATTGTTCTTCAACAACACCGTTTCCCATGTCCTTTGATAACTCCTTCAGGCAGAAGCCCCAGATATTTACATAGCATTGGACCTCCCCCTCTTGCTTTATATGTGAAAGGGTAGAGGCTGCTCCTGTTCCTAGATAGGTAGTTTACTTAATTCAATACATACAGAGCACGTTGCTTCATATCAGCAATTCTCTAAGTTCTTTCTGTACTCACCAGGAACTGCCAAGTTGTTTCTTATTTGTGTAGAAGTACAGGGATCCACCCCCATCTCATTTTCCTGGAGGTTGTGCTGAGATTCTGTGATGACAGACATCCTGGAACGGCCCCGCACAGCTTTGGAAACAGAAACTCAAGGTCAGCGTCACCTATCAGACACTCAGGCATTTGAAAATAATTGTGTTCAGATGTGCAGGCTGTGACTAAAAAGACCGTTTCCAAATTTGAGACGTTAGCAAAGTCTAGGATGAAGCAGTGCTGGAAAGATAGGTGGGTGAGAAATGACCACCACAGAAAAACAAACAGTTCATTCCAGATTTGCAGCTTCAGTGAATTTCTTGTCAGATATCACTAGGGATTCACTAATATGGCTGTTCCAAATCTTAAGACCTAGCAAGGAGGTAGTTACATCACAGACAAATGGAAAAATCCTCTGAAGCTTCACACCTGCAGGCTACAAATTAACTGATGGTGACAGCAGAACTGCAATCTGGCAGCTGCTCAAAATGAATTTATCCAAGGCTGTACCACTAATTTTGCTTTACAGACTACAGATCGAGTTATCTAGGAAAGCCAGGACAAAAATCATTTTTTCCACATCCAAAGATAAAACTGGTCAAGGGCTGGATCAAACCATCACAAACCCAAGCCCAGTACAGAGAGCACGGGGTGCCACAGTGGAATGGCAGCTTAATGACACTAATTTCAGCTAAAGGACTTTACACAGTCAATATGAAATGTGGCAGTGGAGACTAACTAAGGTTTTGTTCTCTGATTGAGAACAAACCACTTGCAGAGCTTCCTAGGGAAGGGATAGGAACATACACCTCAAGAGATTTGTAAAAAAGCAAATCTGGTATGAAAAATAGAAGTGTGCTATGAAAACCAGAACTAACCTCCAGCAATCACAGGAATTTACCCAGAATCAATCACTATGATTTCAAAGGAAATCATGCTTAATGTGAAACAAATCTCAACTTCAATTCTGGATCAAATTCCTTACAATTGTGCACATGAAATTCAGTGCTCATGTGTTAGAATTTTTACCTGCAATCTTCTGCTCAGGTGCAGAGACATTAGATGTCACTGCTGCAACTTTAAGAACAAGAAGAATCAGTTTCATTATACTCAGATGGTACATTATTCCATTTCCTTTTGTCAAACATGCCCAGACCTGATTTCATCACAAACTCAGCACTTGTAACAGTGCTCCTGGACAGGCATACCTGCCAGAGGATTTGCTCCACTTCAGTGGTTTGGATTCAAGTCATTTCTGTACAGAGAACATACAGCATCTGCTAAAATTCTTACTGCTTCACAGAACTTAGACAGCATCTGTTTTCAAGTTCATCCTAAAAGCGCTGCTTCTCTCACTTCCTTTAATGAGAAGGAGACAGGCACCTTCTGATCTTTGATTTGTTTAGTCTAAGGACTGACTCCTGAAGTCAACATTAGCTTCCTAATTGGTGCAGCACAGAGTTTGCTATGAGACTTACTTCCTGACACTCATGTAGTGCAACTATAATATAGATAATATTTGATGACTGATCAGTTGCTTCCCTCCAGCACTCTGAGCAGGTCATCAGGGACAAGACTGTGCCAGAAGCAAAGGCAACAAACACTTCACATTTGTAATTACATTTTATATGTCAGGAAAGCAGCAACCTCTGTGAGGCCATTTGCCCCCCTCCCCACAATCAGTCAATGTCTGAATTAAAACACCTTTATTTTTCCAGCTGGCTGTCCATTAACTGATTTGTCTAGAGATAATCACTACTTTATCACATCATTTTTCTTGCCATTCACAAGATCTATGGAGAATTCTCTGCATTTGAGAAACATCAGCATGCTTAGTACAGAACAACTTTTGACAGATTGAGTTTCTTGAACTACTCCTCTCTCTCAGGTACAAAGGGATTTGTACAGTTGATTTCCAATATTAATTTCCCTTCTCTTGCATTGTATACAGACTGTTTTCTGTTTGCAAAGCTACATCCAAAACTTTAAACCTCACAGCAGCAGGAACTTCCTAGCAGCATTTAAAGCCACATAGCATAACTACAACAATGCCACAGAAAAGGGCAGCATATAAGAAAATCCCAGCTTACAGGAACAGGAGAGCAACTGGTTGGCAAAGTTCTGCACTCAGGCGCGTGAAGCATTGGTACAAACTGGTGTGCTGTTCTTAGCACTGCCTGAACGAGCAGCCTTGTGCTGCACTAAAATGGAACACCGTGGCCACAGTGGAAGACCAGCATTTCACAGGGATGGAACAGAACAACATTTTCTCACCTTCCCGTGGAGCAGGGATTTTTGAAAGAGTTGATCTACGCTTCTGTTTCTGGAAAACAGTGAGAGCTATTAATAATCAGAATAAGCCAGGAACACAAAGGACAGCACTACAGAACAGCATTAATGCAGCAAGGATTTCTGATTAATGTCTGTGATACAGAACACAAAGTCAGATGTCTCCAACTTGTAAGAGCAGCAGTATTATTTATAACAAGGCCTGGTTTTAAGTGTGCTGTGGTCACGTTATTAACTGGGGAGGCTAAAGCACTTACCTGCACCGTTACATTCTCTTGCAAAGGAAGGTTCTCTTTCACTTCTGCAGTAGGTAGGTCTTCTGCTAACTCTGGATTTAATGTTATCACATCATCAATCTCAATCTGCAAGAGCAAAGAGAAGATTTGACATTTCCTTTTATTAATGTTGATTTTCAAGACAGGCAAATAAACCTGAATCACTGCTTGCCAAACGTTAAAATTGCCCTTAAGGGCAAGACAACAGTTAAGATTCTATTTGAATAGCCTACATGCAGCTGCACTAGAAGAAATGTGCCGGTTATGCCATTTACCCTCATCTGCCAAACACCACGCAGCTCTGCAGGTGCCATAGAAGAGCTCTGTGAGCACAAAAGATAGGCAAAGCACATCAAGAGCCTTTAATCTCTTACAGCTAATCTTAGTAAATCCCAGTGACTTCTGTGCTAGCAGAGCATTAAGAGGTGACTGCGCTTACTGAAATAAACTTCAAAGAGCTACTTAGACCCGGGGAAATGAAGGGTTCAGCATTTAATCCACAAGCCAACGCACCTGCATTCTCAGTGACAGCCCCAAGTGAGTCCACGCAGATCCAGCTGTGCCTCCCGCCCGCCCCACCCAGCGCAGCCACAATCCGCGAGCCCGATCACAATGCGCAGCGTTCCATAGCGCCCGGGGCAGCGCTGAGGGCCCCGGCCCTCTCGTTTCAGCTGCTCCAACCCCGAAGGACTCTTGTGCAAAAACAGCAGCGCGATCGCGGCGGCCGGCACGGAACGCGCCCACCTGAGCAGTGGCGTGAGGGAGCAGGGCACCGCAGCGGGCAGGAGGCCCTGGAGGCAGGCCGTGCCCAGCGCCCGCCTGGCGACACGGGGCCGCGTGCCGCAAACCCGCGGATAACGCCGGCCGGCGCGCAGCCCTCACCTCCTTGCCCTTGACGACGCCCGCCTCGCACCACTCCACCGACACGGAGCGCTGCTGCGCGTCCACCGTCTTCACCGTCGCTTTGTGGATCAGACCTGAAAGGAGGAAAGTCGGGAAGGAGCCGCGAACGCCGCCGCCCGATCCCGCGGCAGAGACCCCCGCCCGCCCCGGAGCCTCGCTCTGCTGCTCACCGTGGCTGCGCTGGATGTTGACGACTCGCCCGGGACAAATGTGGCGGTAAAGCCGCGGATCCATGGCGCGGCGCTCCGTTCCGGCGGAGACGCGCGGACGGGCAACGGCCGCTCGTTTAAACGCCGCGCGCCGCAGGGCCTACCGGGAAAACGCGGCGGGGGGACCACGAGTCCCAGCCTGCCTTGAGCGTGGGGGGGCCGGCAGTCGCAGCGAGGGAGGAGGGGCAGCGGCAGCGCGGTGCGGGCCGGGAAGTGCGGTTCAGAGCGAAAGGGCGGCAGCGCGCGTGCACAAACGCCGCCGGGTGGGACGGAGGGGGGCGTTTTCCGCAGCGCCGCTGTGCGCTGCGCCGGGGGGCGGTCAGCGCTATAGAGAGCAAGGAGCCTCACGGTATTCTTTGTTCTCTTACTGACCAGCAGAGGGATGGCGCCGCCGAAGTGGAGCCTCAGACTATTCCACGACACTCAGAATTTCCCAAGACATTCGTGTTTGTTCTGCTTTTCACCTACAATGGTGAGAGGCACAACAGAAGGGAAGCCACCAAAACTCCACGACACTCAGAAATGCCACAACACTCGTGCTTGTTGTATCTAAGCAGCAGTGGGATAGCGCTGCCGAACGGAAGCCTCAATCCCACGGCACTCGTGCTCGTTCTGTAGCTCAGGCTAAGTGGAGACTCCACAAGTTCCACGACACTCGTGCTTGTTCTGTTAGTAACCACAGTAGGGATAGCTCTGCTAAAGGGAAGCCTGAGAAATTCCACGACACTCAGAGATTCCCACGACACTCGTCTTTGTTCTGCTTTTCACCTACAATGGTGAAAAGGCTCCACCGAAGCAATGGTGAGAGGCATCAGAGAAGGGAAGCCACCAAAATTCCACGACACTCAAAAATTCCCACAACATTTGTGTTGGTTCTGCTTTTCACCTGCAATGGTGAAAAGGCTCCACTGAAGCAATGGTGAGAGGCGCCATTGAAGGGAAGCCACCAAAATTCCACGACACTCGTGCTTGTTCTGCTTTCCACCTGCAATGGTGAGAGGCTCCACCGGAGGGAAGCCTCCAAAAATTCCACGACACTCAAAAATTCCCACGACACTCAGAGATTCCACTACATTCGTGCTTGTTCTGCTTTCCACCTGCAATGGTGAAAAGGCTCCACCAAAGCAATGGTGAGAGGCGCCACTGAAGGGAAGCCACCAAAATTCCATGACACTCGTGCTTGTTCTGCTTTCCACCTGCAATGGTGAGAGGCTCCACTGAAGGGAAGCCACCAAAATTCCACGACACTCAAAAGATTCCATGACATTCGTGCTTGTTCTGCTTTTCACCTGCAATGGTGAAAAGGCGCCACCAAAGCAATGGTGAGAGGCGCCACTGAAGGGAAGCCATCAAAATTCCACGACACTCGTGCTTGTTCTGCTTTCCACATGCAATGGTGAGAGGCTCCACCGAAGCAATGGTGAGAGGCATCAGAGAAGGGAAGCCACCAAAATTCCACGACACTCAAAAATTCCCACGACATTTGTGTTGGTTCTGCTTTTCACCTGCAATGGTGAAAAGGCTCCACTGAAGCAATGGTGAGAGGCGCCATTGAAGGGAAGCCACCAAAATTCCACGACACTCGTGCTTGTTCTGCTTTCCACATGCAATGGTGAGAGGCTCCACCAGAGGGAAGCCTCCAAAAATTCCACGACACTCAGAGATTCCCACGACACTCGTGTTTGTTCTGATTTTCACCTCTGATAGTGAAAAGGCTCCACCGAAGCAATGGTGAGAGGCATCAGAGAAGGGAAGCCATCAAAATTCCACGACACTCGTGCTTGTTCTGCTTTCCACCTGCAGTGGTGAGAGGCTCCACTGAAGGGAAGCCTCCAAGCCTCCAAAAATTCCACGACACTCAAAAGATCCATGACATTCGTGCTTGTTCTGCTTTTCACCTGCAATGGTGGAAAGGCTCCACCGAAGCAATGGTGAGAGGCATCAGAGAAGGGAAGCCACCAAAATTCCACGACACTCGTGCTTGTTCTGCTTTCCACCTGCAATGGTGAGAGGCTCCACTGAAGGGAAGCCACCAAAAATTCCACGACACTCGTGCTTGCTCTGCTTTCCACCTGCAATGGTGAAAAGGCGCCATCAAAGCAATGGTGAAAGGCGCAACAGAAGGGAAGCCACCAAAATTCCACGACACTCAAAAGATCCATGACATTCGTGATTGTTCTGCTTTTCACCTGCAATGGTGAAAAGGCTCCACCAAAGCAATGGTGAGAGGCATCAGAGAAGGGAAGCCATCAAAATTCCACGACACTCGTGCTTGTTCTGCTTTCCACATGCAATGGTGAGAGGCTCCACCGGAGGGAAGCCTCCAAAAATTCCACGGCACTCAAAAATTCCCACGACACTCAGAGATTCCACTACATTCGTGCTTGTTCTGCTTTCCACCTGCAATGGTGAAAAGGCGCCACCAAAGCAATGGTGAGAGGCGCCACTGAAGGGAAGCCACCAAAATTCCACGACACTCGTGCTTGTTCTGCTTTCCACATGCAATGGTGAGAGGCTCCACCGGAGGGAAACCTGCAAAAATTCCACGACGCTCAAAAATTCCCACAACATTCGTGTTTGTTCTGATTTTCACCTCTGATGGTGAAAAGGCTCCACCGAAGCAATGGTGAGAGGCATCAGAGAAGGGAAGCCACCAAAATTCCATGACACTCGTGCTTGTTCTGCTTTCCACCTGCAATGGTGAGAGGCTCCACTGAAGGGAAGCCACCAAAATTCCACGACACTCGTGCTTGTTCTGCTTTCCACCTGCAGTGGTGAGAGGCTCCACTGAAGGAAGCCTCCAAGCCTCCGAAAATTCCACGACACTCAAAAGATCCATGACATTCGTGCTTGTTCTGCTTTTCACCTGCAATGGTGGAAAGGCTCCACTGAAGCAATGGTGAGAGGCATCAGAGAAGGGAAGCCACCAAAATTCCACGACACTCGTGCTTGTTCTGCTTTCCACCTGCAATGGTGAGAGGCTCCACTGGAGGAAAGCCTCCAAAAATTCCACGACACTCAGAAATGCCACAACACTCGTGCTTGTTGTATCTAAGCAGTAGTGGGATAGCGCTGCCGAAGGGAAGCCTCAATCCCACGGCACTCGTGCTCGTTCTGTAGCTCAGGCTAAGTGGAGACTCCACAAGTTCCACGACACTCGTGCTTGTTCTGTTAGTAACCACAGTAGGGATAGCTCTGCTAAAGGGAAGCCTGAGAAATTCCACGACACTCAGAGATTCCCACGACACTCGTGTTTGTTCTGCTTTTCACCTACAATGGTGAAAAGGCTCCACCGAAGCAATGGTGAGAGGCATCAGAGAAGGGAAGCCACCAAAATTCCGCGACACTCAAAAATTCCCACAACATTTGTGTTGGTTCTGCTTTTCACCTGCAATGGTGAAAAGGCTCCACTGAAGCAATGGTGAGAGGCGCCATTGAAGGGAAGCCACCAAAATTCCACGACACTCGTGCTTGTTCTGCTTTCCACATGCAATGGTGAGAGGCTCCACCAGAGGGAAGCCTCCAAAAATTCCACGACACTCAGAGATTCCCACGACACTCGTGTTTGTTCTGCTTTTCACCTGCAATGGTGAAAAGGCTCCACCAAAGCAATGGTGAGAGGCATGAGAGAAGGGAAGCCATCAAAATTCCACGACACTCGTGCTTGTTCTGCTTTCCACCTGCAGTGGTGAGAGGCTCCACTGAAGGGAAGCCTCCAAGCCTCCAAAAATTCCACGACACTCAAAAGATCCATGACATTCGTGCTTGTTCTGCTTTTCACCTGCAATGGTGAAAAGGCTCCACCGAAGCAATGGTGAGAGGCATCAGAGAAGGGAAGCCACCAAAATTCCACGACACTCGTGCTTGTTCTGCTTTCCACCTGCAATGGTGAGAGGCTCCACTGAAGGGAAGCCACCAAAATTCCACGACACTCGTGCTTGCTCTGCTTTCCACCTGCAATGGTGAAAAGGCGCCATCAAAGCAATGGTGAAAGGCGCCACTGAAGGGAAGCCACCAAAATTCCATGACACTCGTGCTTGTTCTGCTTTCCACCTGCAATGGTGAGAGGCTCCACCGGAGGGAAGCCTCCAAAAATTCCACGGCACTCAAAAATTCCCACGACACTCAGAGATTCCACTACATTCGTGCTTGTTCTGCTTTCCACCTGCAATGGTGAAAAGGCGCCACCAAAGCAATGGTGAGAGGCGCCACTGAAGGGAAGCCACCAAAATTCCATGACACTCGTGCTTGTTCTGCTTTCCACATGCAATGGTGAGAGGCTCCACCGGAGGGAAACCTGCAAAAATTCCACGACGCTCAAAAATTCCCACAACATTCGTGTTTGTTCTGATTTTCACCTCTGATGGTGAAAAGGCTCCACCGAAGCAATGGTGAGAGGCATCAGAGAAGGGAAGCCACCAAAATTCCATGACACTCGTGCTTGTTCTGCTTTCCACCTGCAATGGTGAGAGGCTCCACTGAAGGGAAGCCACCAAAATTCCACGACACTCAAAAGATTCCATGACACTCGTGTTTGTTCTGCTTTTCACCTGCAATGGTGAAAAGGCTCCACCAAAGCAATGGTGAGAGGCTCCACTGAAGGGAAGCCACCAAAATTCCACGACACTCAAAAGATTCCATGACACTCGTGTTTGTTCTGCTTTTCACCTGCAATGGTGAAAAGGCTCCACCGAAGCAATGGTGAGAGGCGCCACTGAAGGGAAGCCATCAAAATTCCACGACACTCGTGCTTGTTCTGCTTTCCACCTGCAATGGTGAGAGGCTCCACTGAAGGAAGCCTCCAAGCCTCCAAAAATTCCACGACACTCAAAAGATCCATGACATTCGTGCTTGTTCTGCTTTTCACCTGCAATGGTGGAAAGGCTCCACTGAAGCAATGGTGAGAGGCATCAGAGAAGGGAAGCCACCAAAATTCCACGACACTCGTGCTTGTTCTGCTTTCCACCTGCAATGGTGAGAGGCTCCACTGAAGGGAAGCCACCAAAAATTCCACGACACTCGTGCTTGTTTGCTTTCCACCTGCAATGGTGAAAAGGCGCCATCAAAGCAATGGTGAAAGGCGCCACTGAAGGGAAGCCACCTAAATTCCATGACACTCGTGCTTGTTCTGCTTTCCACATGCAATGGTGAGAGGCTCCACCGGAGGGAAGCCTCCAAAAATTCCACGACACTCAAAAATTCCCACAACATTCGTGTTTGTTCTGATTTTCACCTCTGATGGTGAAAAGGCTCCACCGAAGCAATGGTGAGAGGCATCAGAGAAGGGAAGCCACCAAAATTCCATGACACTCGTGCTTGTTCTGCTTTCCACCTGCAGTGGTGAGAGGCTCCACTGAAGGAAGCCTCCAAGCCTCCAAAAATTCCACGACACTCAAAAGATCCATGACATTCGTGTTTGTTCTGCTTTTCACCTGCAATGGTGAAAAGGCTCTACCAAAGCAATGGTGAGAGGCATTACAGAAGGGAAGCCACCAAAATTCCACGACACTCGTGCTTGTTCTGCTTTCCACCCGCAATGGTGAGAGGCTCCACTGGAGGAAATCCTCCAAAAATTCCACGACACTCAGAAATGCCACAACACTCGTGCTTGTTGTATCTAAGCAGCAGTGGGATAGCGCTGCCGAACGGAAGCCTCAATCCCACGGCACTCGTGCTCGTTCTGTAGCTCAGGCTAAGTGGAGACTCCACAAGTTCCACGACACTCGTGCTTGTTCTGTTAGTAACCACAGTAGGGATAGCTCTGCTAAAGGGAAGCCTGAGAAATTCCACGACACTCAGAGATTCCCACGACACTCGTGTTTGTTCTGCTTTTCACCTACAATGGTGAAAAGGCTCCACCGAAGCAATGGTGAGAGGCATCAGAGAAGGGAAGCCACCAAAATTCCACGACACTCAAAAATTCCCACAACATTTGTGTTGGTTCTGCTTTTCACCTGCAATGGTGAAAAGGCTCCACTGAAGCAATGGTGAGAGGCGCCATTGAAGGGAAGCCACCAAAATTCCACGACACTCGTGCTTGTTCTGCTTTCCACATGCAATGGTGAGAGGCATCAGAGAAGGGAAGCCACCAAAATTCCACGACACTCAAAAATTCCCACGACACTCAGAGATTCCACTACATTCGTGCTTGTTCTGCTTTTCACCTGCAATGGTGAAAAGGCTCCACCAAAACAATGGTGAGAGGCGCCACTGAAGAGAAGCCACCAAAATTCCATGACACTCGTGCTTGTTCTGCTTTCCACCTGCAATGGTGAGAGGCTCCACTGAAGAGAAGCCACCAAAATTCCATGACACTCGTGCTTGTTTGCTTTCCACCCGCAATGGTGAGAGGCCCCACCAGAGGAAAGCCTCCAAAAATTCCACGACACTCAGAGATTCCCACGACACTCGTGTTTGTTCTGATTTTCACCTCTGATAGTGAAAAGGCTCCACCGAAGCAATGGTGAGAGGCGCAACAGAAGGGAAGCCACCAAAATTCCATGACACTCGTGCTTGTTCTGCTTTCCACCTGCAATGGTGAGAGGCTCCACTGAAGGAAGCCTCCAAAATTCCATGACACTCAAAAATTCCCACGACACTCGTGTTTGTTCTGCTTTTCACCTGTAATGGTGAAAAGGCTCCACCGAAGCAATGGTGAGAGGTACCACAGAAGGGAAGCCACCAAAATTCCACGACACTCGTGCTTGTTCTGCTTTTCACCTGCAGTGGTGAGAGGCTCCACTGAAGGGAAGCCTCCAAAAATTCCACGTCACTCAATAGATCCCACTGACGCTCGTGCTTGTTTGCTTTTCACCAAAACGGTGAGATGCTACACGGAAGGGAAGCCTCCAAAAATCCCACTGCACTCCGCTCCTGCTGCTCTTAGCCAGCAGCACACTTGCCCGGCCTAACAGCACACCGCAGCAGTTCCACGACACTCGTGCTCGCTCTGTCGTTAACCACAGCAGGGACAGCTCCGCCGAAGCGGAGCCTCAAAAAATTCCACGACACTCGTGCTTGTTCCTCTCCACGGAAATCTTTAGTAAAAGGCGAAAGATTTATACGATCTGAAGAGAAACCAGAGTATAACTCCACCCCTGCCCGGCCCCGGCCCCACTGCCGGCCCGCCGCCCCCAGCACACGGCGTCCTGCCCTGCTCCGCTCCTCCCGGCACAGCCCGGCTCCGCACCGCCCCGTTCCCCGCCGCCCCTTCCGATCCCGGCGGCCGCTCACGCGCGGATCGGCGGAGCCCGGCGTGGCGCGCGTGTCCGCCGTCTGCACGCGGGGTATGCTAATAAGTTGTATGCTAATTTGCCGCATGCTAATGAGGAGGCGCCATTGCCCCAGCGCCCAGCGCTCAGGTCGGGGCGGTACTGCCTGGCGCCGAATTGAAACGAAACTGAACGGTGGGAGCCGGGCGGTGCGCGTCTGCTTGCGGAGCGCTGTGCGGGACTCTGCTATGGGGGCTGCACTGCGGAAACTGAATGGAACTCGGGACGTTGCATTATCAGCGAACAGCACAGCCGAAACGCTCACTGTGATATTGAGCAGCAGTGAGATCGCTCCACGGAAGGGAAGCATCAACAATTCCATGACACTCAGAGATTCCCACGGCATTCGTGCTTGTTCTGCTTTTCACCTGCAACGGTGAAAATGCTCCACCGAAACAATGGTGGGAGGTTCCATAGAAGGGAAGCCACCGAAATTCCATGACACTCGTGCTTGATCTGCTTTCCACCAGCAATGGTGAGAGCCTCCACAGAATCGAAGTCTCCAAATATTTCACGATATTCAAAAACCTCACAACACTCTGTTGGATCTGAGCAGCAGTGGGATAGCTCTGCAGAAGAGAAGCCTGCAGAAATCCCACGTCACTCGTGCCCGTTCTATAGCTTGGTCTGAGTGGAGATTCCAAAAGTTCCATGACACTCGTGCTTGTGCTGGTATTCACCTGCAATGGTAAAAAGGCTCCACCGAAGCAATGGTGAGAGGTCCCACAGAAGGGAAGCCTCTAAAATTCCACAACACTCAAAAATTCTTACGATGTTTCTGCTTGTTCTGCTTTTCACCTACAGTAGTGAAAAGGCTCCAGCTGAGGCAAGCCACCAAAAATCCCACAACACTCAGAGACGTCACAGCACTCGTGCTTGTTGTATCTAAGCAGCAGTGGGATAGCTCTGCAGAAGGGAAGCCTCAGTCCCATGCTCGTGCTCATTCTATTGCTCGTTCTAAGTGGAGATTTCAAAAGATCCACGACACTCGTGCTTGTTCTATTACTAACCACGACATGGATAGCTCTGCCGAAGGGAAGCCTGAGAAATTCCACGACACTCAGAGATTCCCACGACATTCATGCTTGTTCTGCTTTTCACCTACGATGGTGAAAGGGCTCCACCGAAACAACTCTGACAGGCTCTGCTGAAGGGAAGCCTCCAAAAATCCCACGGCACTCCGCTCCTGCTGCTCTTAGCCAGCAGCACACTTGCCCGGCCTAACAGCACACCACAGCAGTTCCACGACACTCGTGCTCGCTCTGTCCTTAACCACAGCAGGGACAGCTCCGCCGGAGCGGAGCCTCAAAAAATTCCACGACACTCGTGCTTGTTCCTCTCCACGGAAATCTTTAGTAAAAGGCGAAAGATTTATACGATCTGAAGAGAAACCAGAGTATAACCCCACCCCTCCCCGGCCCCGGCCCCACTGCCGGCCCGCCGCCCCCAGCACACGGCGTCCTGCCCTGCTCCGCTCCTCCCGGCACAGCCCGGCTCCGCATCGCCCCGTTCCCCGCCGCCCCTTCCGATCCCGGCGGCCGCTCACGCGCGGATCGGCGGAGCCCGGCGTGGCGCGCGTGTCCGCCGTCTGCACGCGGGGTATGCTAATAAGTTGTATGCTAATTTGCCGCATGCTAATGAGGAGGCGCCATTGCCCCAGCGCCCAGCGCTCAGGTCGGGGCGGTACTGCCTGGCGCCGAATTGAAACGAAACTGAACGGTGGGAGCCGGGCGGTGCGCGTCTGCTTGCGGAGCGCTGTGCGGGACTGTGCTATGGGGGCTGCACTGCGGAAACTGAATGGAACTCGGGACGTTGCATTATCTGCGAACAGCACAGCCGAAACGCTCACTGTGATATTGAGCAGCAGTGAGATCGCTCCACGGAAGGGAAGCATCAACAATTCCACGACGCTCAGAGATTCCCACGGCATTCGTGCTTGTTCTGCTTTTCACCTGCAACGGTGAAAATGCTCCACCTAAGCAATAGCGAGAGCCTCCGCGGAAATTAAGCCTCACGACACTTAGAAAATTCACGACAACTGAAAACTCAGAAGCCTCACGACACTCGCACGTATTGCGTTTAACCAGCACTGGGTCAGCCCAGCACAACGCGCAGGGGCGCTCGCTCCGTAGTTTGAGTTGCGCGGAGGCCGTACGAGCTCCACGGCTCTGACGGTCGCTCTGT